ATCTTGCGTATACAAGAAAAAACAATACCTAGTTTTGCACAGTGGATAAGCGGAGAACTTTCAGTGACAGCAAAGAGGAGACTCTGGCACAGGCACTCTCTCTGAGATGTCTCACAGCCCCAAGAGCTGGAGGGGATTATGTAAGTCACTCAGTATACTGGGTCACCCAGTCGTTCTTGATATGCAATACTACTGTACGACTGCTGCGCTCATTACAGAGATTCTCATGCCGTAGATTTGTAGTGTATGGCTAAGTTAAAATCAGCATAGACGGTTAATTGCGATGAGATTTTATACAATCTCATTTTCACAGTGGTTAGAGTTGTATCTGAGTATTGTTCTTTCATTTTCTAACCCGAGGAGACCTACAACCACTAACCGCGTGACTAACACTGCTTTTTAAAGGGAAAGAACAACCTTAAATAGGATTCAGTGCAAATTGATGAATATTAATCAGTAGAGACAGACTGTAGTGGTGATGTCATCTGCTGAAAAAATATGGAGCTGGTCCATAAACAGTGAATAACTGCCTGGATGCTATATGGCAGTCATCAGCCATTTTTTATACCGTTTTTTGTTTTCTGATTCACAGTTGGACGGCCTACATTTCAATAAAACCCATAGGATGACTAATCCACTTAAATAGACAGAGAGTGTCACCTGATTCGTGTCTTTATGCTCTGATTCCTCAGTAAAGAGACAATGCCGACTCTCCACTGATCACTGGAGCATTTCAGGGTGTATTTTCCCTTTAAACCCATGCTAGAGAAAGCCCAACTCTTCTTATAAAGACCAGCCTCTTGCACACAGTTTTTTCTGTTTCTCCACACACAATTGAGTGTGGGAGGGAATATATAATTGTGTGTAGGTGGGTTGGTTTTACTAAACATTAGAGCAAGCCTAGGCAAACAAGATCAGTGTATTTAGCCTTCAAGGCCATTTCGAAACCCTACCACAGCTGAGTGAGTAGATAAAGGCAGCAACTGTCAGGACAGGTAGGATGATTGGCTGCTGCACAACATGGACCCATTGTTTCTCCATAGTGTCAGATTACTCCTTTTGCAGGACAAAACCTGGCTTGTTCCAACTCAGAGCAGATTAAAAAAAAGAGTCTGGCATGTTAAAACTGGTTATGGTGTTATAAAAAGGTGTATTATTAACTACTCTGGTGTTTCGTATTTTTTTATTTTATTTAAATCGACTTAAACATGTTTATCTATTATTAATAGTCACCCCAAGGACGTGTTCCGGAAAATACACCTGCTAACAAATAGTTTAATGAAGTTGCCGCATGCAGTTAAATTAAAACCGGATGTTGAGTGAGGTTGACTTCAAAATAAAAGCGCAGTCATTGTGACAACAGTTGGCGTTGTCTAAAACACGCTATACAAAGATAAAAAAAACTGTTGTTTCGTGTTAATTACTTCTTCAACGTATACTTTTCACCTTAGTAGTTTTATTTATTGGTATTTTGATCTTGTTAAGTGTATTCTGATTTTTATTTTATTTTATTTTTTTTTATCTGACCGGAAATCATATCTTATTATTTCCGGCATTTTGACATTGTTCTAGCATAGATGTGCTACTGACAGCTGACACCTTCACTGTCCCGACTTCTCGTGTAGTTTAACAACATATTAATTAAAAGGAGAGCCCAGAGTGTTCAATAATCACACTGGGTGATTAATAAAATATATAATAATGCACAAATATGACTGAAATACTCTCTGTACTCAGCGGGCACGGTTACGTTTCTTGTGTACCAGGAAGAGACACAAACATCCCACCTTTACGGGGTTAACACACCAAATTAAGCCGTTTAGATGAATATAGTTCACACTTGACGAATGTGTAAGGTGTAATTGTTGGTTGGCTTGATATTGAAGGAGGATACAGCCGTTAACAACTTTGTTTTCTGCCCAGTCCTCGGCCTGTTCCCACATCGCTACTAGTTTCGCAGCATCGCTCCAGTGTTGCAAACACCCACCCCTCCTGCACCATTTCCGTGTTTTATACGGAATCATTTCCACGAAGCCTGTGCCACGTCAATTAAATACGCAGGTTTTGCTGAATTATAACGCTAGACAATAAGACAGTAATAGCAACCAGTAGATAATGAATGGAAAATCCGCTGTGTTGCCAAACACTGCGACATCGTTGCAGGATAACCGGTTAATAAGTGAAAGGCTGCATGACGTGTCTAAATCAATGAGTCCAAGACAAGAGAAATGTGGAGCTAAAACAACACAACTTACCAAGTGCCACCTCGCAGGCTTTCCGCAGTTGTGAATGGTGAGCCTTTTTCACCTCCTTGTCGGCCAGAATCTTTTCCAAAGCTCGTGTAAGGAACATGTTTTTCGTCTTTTTGCCCTCAAACATGTCGCACCGGAATTTGGGGCGAGGTGTGCCTGGTCCCAAGGGGGGCTGCAGCCGCCTCGAATAGAGATGTATTCCTTTACAAATGTCAGCCGCAGAGCCCCTAACAGACAAACATAAATAAACACAGAAGGTGGGGTAAATCCCTCAGATTTCCATTAACGATCTGCCTCCTGCGCCATGTTGGAGAGAGGAAACGACGTCACGTACGTTTGAGAACGGCCGCAGTGAGGCAGCAGGGAGAGAGACAGAGAGGGGAGATGTCATGAGTGTAGTCTTACAGCTAAGCCTGGTGTATAAGCCTATATGGGCTGATTAAAGTCACATGTGAAAGAACTCGCATTAATATATGCATGTTATCAACTAAACAAAGTATGATGGCTTCAATGTGTGCAGGATTTTTTGCTGAATAAAACATTTACAACTTACAATATATGCACATTACACATTATACTTATGTGTGAGACTTTTGTGTGATGACAGGGGTCACCTCCCAATCAATATTTAGAACGGGTGTCAAACTCATTTTGACTTCAGATGGGCTCGACCAATAAAACCATCGCACAATAACCTGTAAGCGACATCAACTTCAATATTTTATCTTTTTTTGTGTGTAAAGAATTACATACATTCTGTAGACCTTCATTTTTTTTTTTTACAAAACAGATGAACAGCCTGGGATGTCTTTAAAAAACTGTCATGTCATGGGCATTTGTCCATTCATTTCCTGATACATATTCTTTTGAACTGAAGTTGCTGGTTGACAATATCCTCCTGTGACCCTGTGTCCTCATATGAGGACATCACATTTTGGGTTTACTTGACTTTACACTTCATTCTGCTTAACTTAGATCTGTTGTCCTCGTTCGTGGACACTTTTTTGTGCCATCTAGTGGTAGTAAGAGCACAATATACTAATCCGTGTAAAAACAAGATGGCAGCCATCTCTGTCAAGTCAGTCTGCTTCTGATCCTGACACAAAAGTGGACAAGGTCCAAAGCTTTGGACCAGGCCAACATTTTATGGTTGAAACTTGTTTATTTATGATTAATAATGTTTGTAGTTTGGTAACACATTTGACCAAGTTTACCAACAGTAACAAGCTAAGACACTGTTAATTAGGAAGTACTTGTTTGAAGACACTGGAACTTAATAATTGTTGACAATGTTTAGGTTTTTATACTTATCGGGTCCTACTGATCCCAAATAGCTTGGAGAAATTAAAAATGCACACCAAATAAAAGTCTGGGTCTCAGGAGGATATTTTGCACAATGTTCAATATCTTTAAACATGGAAATATTTAGTATTCATTGTTATATCAGAGAACTGTATTCTGGTTGCGGTGGAAAAGCTTCTGAAGCAGAATTTTACAAGTCAGCATTGTTTAACTTGACTTAGTCTAGTCATCTCGTGGGCTGGATTGGACCCTTTGGTGGGCTGATTCTGGCCCAGGGGTTGAACATTTGCCACCCCAGATTTAGAACATGTGAATATGCCACCTCCGGTAACAACAGTAAAGTACTAGAGGACTTTTATTTTGACAAAATTAAAGACAGTTCCAAGATAAATTGATGCAGAAAAGGCACAAACTGGTGCAGAAAAATTCACAAGGCAAAAAATTAAGTGTTTGATGCTCAAAATGTCCAGAGGGGGACCCCCAAACCAAGCCCAAGCCTACATTTCTTTTAACAATTTGTGTAAAAATCTGGTAAACAGGGAAACAAGAAAATGTTTGGTATTTTAACAGACATATTACAGGCAGGGGTGTAAATCTAGACAGTGCAGGCAGTGTTGTTGCATTGGGGCCCATGATGTAGGGGACCCACAGAGAGAGTGGGCCTTCTAACAATGTGTTGAGTGGAGAATGGGCCCTTATGAGTGATTGCCACCTTGAAAGTATGCCTGTGGTGACAGAAGAACTGTCATATAGTGCCATTTGCTATATATGTCTTCGAAAAAGACAAACCCATCTCCATCATGCTTATTATTTTTTTTGTAAAGAAGTCAATAGCATCTATACCAAAATATATGCTTATTCTATAACTGTAAATCATCTATTCTAATAATCAAATATTCTATAACTATAAGTAAGTATTAGCAAATATTAAAATTGTTAAATTAAATCAATAATTTCTTATTTTTGTTGGTATTTTTTGTTCTATATAGATATGCAACAATGATTGACGAGTAATATATATGTTGATGTTATTCATTGTCAAGTCTCTGAACATGTAACAAGACGATATGTGCATGATAACATGAACTGGGGCTCACCGTTACTACCTTACACCAATGATTATATAAATTAATAATAATATATTAAATATAATGAAAAGTTTGACATTTACAAGAAAAATAAGTCTTTTTTTGATTCTCTGATCATCATAATTGAAAATAAAGATTTTATACTCCAACATCTCCTGATCACCCATATTTATTTAAAAAAAAAATTCTATTTTAAAGGGTTAGATTTTTTTTTTTTAATGTCACCCCTTCCCATGGATGTAGGCATAAATTTCGGGGGGCAACACTTCCCCCTCAATATTTAGATCTTGTGCATTTGTCCCCCCCCAATAAAAACACAGAAGCCAAGGACTTTTGTTTTGACAGAAGTAAATATGTTTACATGCAGAAAAGGCACAAATTGGTACATTAAAAAATCACCAGAGAGCAGGAAATTATGTTAGATGCTAAAAATTTTGTACCAAAGGACCCCCAAACCCTCCTGTTTCATGTGCCCCCTCATCAATACCTAAAAATCTACACCCTTGCTCAGGGATGAAAAGAAAAACCTTAAACATAGACATTAAACATAATCTTAAAATAAAAATAGCTCAGATTTTGTTGCTGTCTGTGGTCATTATGTTGTAAATTTCACAACACCTTTTTATTTAATCCTGCCATCACTTTGTTTCACCTCATCTATAACTGTGTGTACCTGCATGTTTAGTATTGCTAAAGCCTGTTACAGCCTAGTGCAACATTTAGCAAAGTCCGACAGCAAGTACATCCAGAAAATCTGGCAATTTGACAACACAGATTTGGCAGTTGTGGGCGGCAGAGTTCACTTTCACTTTGGGATGTCTTGAGTGTCAGTTCCACCATTTCTGAATCCATAAATAAGAGCAGAGCTGCAGAATCAAAGACTGGATATGAAGAGTGGGAAAGAGAAAGAGGAGGGCTTTTGGAAGAGAGAGTTTGATTTAAAGTGTTGTGCCTGAAGCTATAAACTCACTGACCTGTGACAGCTCAGTGAGTTTATCATAATAAAAAAATACATCAGTAAAATAATGTTTATTATCAACATGTGTACAAAACATGTACAAAACACAAATATGGGCGACAGCTGTGACATTTTACTGCTTTCAAATAAATAGTAGAGATGTAAGGATGAGATGAATGTAAAAACATGAACATTTATTGTTATATAACAATATCTATTCAAGTCAGATATCGTCATTTATTAGAATCTCTTATTAAGCACATAAGCTGTCAAAAGTAAACATTTCTGACTCTGTCATTGATCTATACCTGAGTGATGACACAGTGAGCTGCTGCAGTGACAGGTCATTTAATCCAAATCTCAGTCTGAACCAAATGAAAAAGAAATCGAACAAAAAAAAAAATCTCAATTTAAACCAAACCCAAGATTGTCAGATGATAGCATATCATATACACCAACAATGTTGCAGTAATAAAGGCATTTAATATTAAGATACTGGCACTTGGTAGGACTATTTAAAAAATAAAAAGCAACCCGAATAAAAACAGTTCTTGTGATTTTGGAAAACATTAAAATCTGAGCTGTCTCTTTAGAGGAAAGTGCTGTTGTATTGTGACAAGTGCTCACGTGACCACCATTCAGCTTATGTCGTGGAAAAGTGTGCATTATTAATAATTTTTGTAAGTCGAGAGCAATTAAGAATTTGGGAAAGGTGTAGAGGATTACATGCTAGAAAGGATTCGAGCTCAGGACACTGACTTTGGACACGTAATGATCTATGTAAACAGGTTGGTCGCTAATTAGATTCATGGTTACTGACACCCGCCACCATCAGATCATATTTCATCAGTAAAGGAAAATACGGTTCACAACCCCAAACACAAGAAAGGCAAATTAAAATTCATACTTTGCTGCTCCTCCTCAGCTCCTCACCTGATAATATCTTGGAGGAATATGAAATCTCTGAGGAATATGAGGTGTTGAGATAAGTAACTGTGATGGTGGAGCTCCGGGGACCCACAGTGCGCTCATATATATGGAAATCTGTCCCGATCTGTTTCACACTTCTTAAGCAGACCTGATGCAATGGCCTTCACTGCCCGCATAGTCTCAGTGCAGGTCGGGTTGATCAGGGACTCAGGCAGGAGAAAGCCAAAGTATCCTGTGTCCCTCAACTCAAATGCAAATGCGTATGGGATCCCGTTTCTGTAGGCCCAGTCTATAGAGCTGCCTGAGCTGACATCTGTGGAGAAGTTAAACAAACAGAATAAACTTAGGACAGTATTTTGTTACATAAGCATTCAGAAATATATTTTCACTTAAGTCACATTGTGAATGCAAGACCTTTACTTGCAAGTGCAGTATTGCTACTTTTACTTGGCTATATGATTTGAATATGTCTCCCAGCACTGCTGACAACAAATTGATTCAATTTTAGGTGAGTCTGAAAGCATTTCATTCTTATTGGTGTTACATCTCTGCATTTAGCTCCTCTCAAGGGGAACGTTCAGTACACTGAGTGCAAGACTAAATTGATCGTGTATTTATAGAAAACTGGCACTTCTCCCCACTTCATAACATAAAGGAGGATCCACTTTCCTTGTCGGCAAATGAAAGAAACACAGATGAGGTTGGAAGGAGAGCACGCGGCAGCAGGTACGACATGACAAATAATCCATTCTGTTTCGGTTTCTAAACTTGGAGGGTACAATGAAGACAAAGAACGGTACTCACACAGGGTTGTGGAGGCAGGTCCGTATCTGTACCTCACTCCATAGGCAGAGTACAGGGCTGTCACTGCGTTATGAGCTGCCAACTCCTGGACAGTGGAAACAAAAGGCCAGCTCATTAGTGATTGTACATAGGTTTGCAAAGTAGGATTTAATATCAAGGCATTCTAGTTAAAGGAACACTTCACCCCTCAAATGATCAGTTGGATATTAATTACTCAGCCTGTGTTCTGTTAAAGTCAGGAAGAAACTCAGTTTGTTCTCTCATGCATCTGGTGAGCGAGGAATCCAAAAATGGAGTCATACAGGTCTGCAAAACTATATCAAACCATCTGTGTACACACTCTCACACAACCTGTGCAGTATAATCCAAGTCTCTATTTTACATTCATATGCTCAGATCTTCCCAAACAGACAGCCCTTTCCAACAAGGAACTAAACTAAAAGTGAAACCTCTTCTACTACCATGCTCTTTTCAAAGCCAGACTCCATTAACAAAAACACAAATTTTACCTTGCTGAACACTGGAGCTGCTGGTCTACCACTGCCTTCATCAGTTAGCTTGTTTGTGGTATATTTGGCGTTGTTGTTTTAAAGGGTTAGTTTGGATTCACCAGAGTAACACAGTAAAACAAACAAACATATTGATCGAGGCAGAGGTAGACCAGCAGCTCTGGTGTTCAGCGAGGTAAAATTACTGTTTTTGTCAATGGAGTCTGGCTTTGAAGAGAGCATAGATAAGTTCCCTGTTAGAAAGGCCTGTCTCTTTGGGAAGTAATGAATGTACGGCTGGATAAATGAGATTTGGATTATACTACACAAGTTGAGTGAGAGTTTGTAAGTAGATATTTATTGGTAAACGTGGACCCCAATGCCTTCAATTCATCAAGAACTTTTGCAGTTTTTGGATTCTTCCTTCACCAGATGCATGCGAGAAAAACAAAGTTTTCTTGCTGAATTAAATGTATCACAGGGTGAGTAAATGATATACAAATAGTCATTCGGGAGGTGAAGTATTCCTTTAAGTACCTCTAACATACTACCGTGCAGTGTACTACTAGAAGTTTAGTTTAGTTTATTAAGGATCCCCATTAGCTGATACCATAGTAAACAACTAGTCTTCCTGGGGTCCAGAAGGTGGTGGATATGAATATTATCTTAAATAAAGATTTGCTAAATAGTGGTTTATTATCAAGCTCTTACCACACAGTTGAAGTTGGGGATAGTGGCATACTTGTAAGAATAGGGATAAAGCAGCATTTGGGCGTAGGCGTGGATGGATATATAGGCTTTGACACGCTTCTTGTGCTTGCGCAAGAACTTGGCGACGGCCTTGACTTCAGGTTCAGACTCAGGGAAGGGACCACAGTACGTGTCATCACAGGGATGAGAAGAGGCACCTTCCTCTGTGAAAAGAAAGGAGAAAATAAATGATATCATTCTCTTAATCACCAGAAAGCATTAAGGGACAAATTACAAATGTGGCTCATGTTTCATTCAGATTTTCAAACCTAATATAAAAGAGGTGCTGTGATCTTGGTTCTTTATATTCAGTGACCACACAGGCAGCTTAAAGAGATAGAGTGATATTGTGGAGGAAAAACTAATGCAGACCCAGATTGAAATCAGCAAAGTCACATTATAATGCCAAGGATAACATTCCCAAACATTATAGGCTGCACTGATGTTTGCGTATGAAAGTCCTTTACAAATAACTCATATCTATGAACAGCAGAGGCAGCGTGGTGGTCAATATTGTAAATAATTAGCATGGATTTCAGTCAGGCTGAAAGTTATCACAGAACTGGTTATGTTCTTTTTAATGCAATTCTCTTGTGTTTCCTGTTTCCCATTCCTAGTGTCTCATGTTTGTTTTCAGTTTGTCTCCATGTGTTTGCTGGGTGTGGCCTTCTGGTTCACCTCCTCCTGCCAATCCTCCTGCGTGCCAGCGGCTGCTGAACCTGTACACCTGAACCTCATCTACAATCAAGCCACTGCAGCATAAAACCCCGGCTCAGACATCCAGACTCTGCCAGATTGTTCAGTCTCCTTTGTGGTGCAGACATCAAGGCCAGCTTCTAAGTTTTTTTGACACTTGTCTTTCTGTGCTTTTGGACTTCAATTCACACTTTGTCCTGTGTTTCAAGTTCACCACGCCAGCTTCAACTGTAACCAGCCACGTCCAGCCTCGTTTTCATCTCTTTGCCTCCAGATTTGTGCTGCTCTGTCTTCAGCACCTCAGCCTGCTCTGCTTCGCCATTCCAAGCCCACCTCAGCCTTCCTTTCACTCAAGCCTTCAGCCACCATCTTCAAACTAAAATAAACTGCCTTAAACCGTTCCCAGTGTCCTGGTAGTGTTTGCATTTGGGTCCTAAGTCAAACTGTCAAAATAGTCCAGTACTGAAGTGTAATCTTGTTAAATCTCCATCTTTCATATGAATAAATACTCATGCATGTCCACCTGAACATTTCACTGACAGTAGGGCTGCACAATACACTACCGGTCAAAAGTTTTAGAACACCCCAATTTTTCCAGTTTTTTATTGAAATTCAAGCCGTTCAAGTCCAATGAATAGCTTGAAATGGTACAAAGGTAAGTAGTGAACTGCTAGAGGTTTAAAAAAAAGGGTAAGGTTACCCAAAACTGAAAAATAATATACATTTCAGAATTATACAAAAAGGCCTTTTTCAGGGAACAAGAAATGGGTTAACAACTTAAAGCCTTTCTGCAGCAATGGAGGTTGATCAAGCCTTGAAAGTTGGTGCTACCAATTCCTACAGGTGTTCCAACTTTTCTTGATTACTTACAACCCCCTCTGTCTGCATAAAAGCAGTGTTGGAACACACTGTGGTACCATACCCTTGTGAGCATCATTTGAACAGTATTGTACTGCAGAAAGTAGTGTGTTACCATAAAAATGGCAAGAAAAAGGCAATTAACAATGGAAGAGAGACAGACCATCATAACACTTAAAAATGTAGGGCTTTCCTACAGAGAAATTGCGAAGAAAGTCAAGGTGTCAGTGAGTACAGTTTCCTTCACCATCAAAAGGCACTCAGAAACTGGGAGAAACTCTGACAGGAAGAGGTCTGGCAGACCCAAAGCCACAACAGAATCAGAAGACAAGTTTCTGAGAGTCAACAGCTTGCGTGATAGGCGGCTCACAGGACAACAGCTTCAAGCACAGCTTAATAGTGGTCGTAGTAAGCAAGTCTCAGTTTCAACTGTGAAGAGAAGACTTCGAGTTGCAGGTTTGAACGGTTGAGTTGCAGCAAGAAAGCCATTGCTTAGACATCAGAATAAGAAGAAGAGGCTTGCCTGGGCCATGAAACACCACCAATGGACTACTGAAGACTGGAAGGTGTTATGGACTGATGAATCAAAGTTTGAAATCTTCGGTTCATCACACAGGATTTTTGTACACCGTCGAGTAGGCGAAAGGATGGTTCCTCAGTGTGTGACATCAACTGTCAAACATGGAGGAGGAAGCGTGATGGTCTGGGGCTGTTTTTCTGGATCTAGGGTCGGTGACTTGTACAGAGTGAGAGGCACCCTGAACCAAAACGGCTACCACAGCATTCTGCAGCGCCATGCAGTACCCTCTGGTATGCGCCTAGTTGGTCAGGGGTTCATCCTACAGCAAGATAATGACCCAAAACATACGTCCAAGCTATGCCAGAACTACCTCAGGAAAAAAGAACAAGATGGTAAGCTTGAAAACATGGAGTGGCCAGCACAGTCTCCAGACTTAAACCCCATCGAGCTGGTTTGGGATGAACTGGACAGAAGAGTGAAAGCAAAGCAACCTACAAGTGCCACACATTTATGGGAACTTCTGCAACAGAGTTGGGAAGAACTTTCTGCAGAATATTTGATTTCCATTGTAGAAAGAATGCCATGAGTGTGTTCAGCTGTTATATCTGCCAAAGGTGGCTACTTTGATGAGTCAAAAGTTTAGAATACATTTTGGTTTATAAATTGATTCCATGATTTCTTTTTTGACCTCATTTGTTTATTTGTTCTATGCTTTCATTTCAGAGTACAATGAGACATTAAACTGCATAATTTTCAATAAAAAACTGGAAAAATTGGGGTGTTCTAAAACTTTTGACCGGTAGTGTATACTATTTTATTATCATAATTGCCATGTCAACTTGCATGACAAACACAGAGGAGTGTGATTTTTTGAGTTAGTTGACAGGGAGTAAAACTGCACATTAAAGTGTAATTATCTTTTTTTTTAATTTTATTTTTTTATTAGTGCCTTTTGTGCTCAGTTCAATGTGTTAATAAAAACAAAGTTGGCAATAATTTCCTCTATTTTTTTTAATTCAACAAGCAATTTGTTGCATTTTAGCAGCGTAAGGAAAGCAGAAGAAAGGCTATAATATATATTTATTTCTCACACATGACAATGTTATCCCGATATTCAACAACAGTAAGTTCCCTTGAAGAAAAGCTTTTAATTTAAGTACCCAAAATACCCAATATTTAAGCTAATATTCAATTTCTCTCTGTTTCTCATCTCACATCACATCTCCATATGTCTGTCTATACCACAAACATCCCAGCTATAATCTCAGAGCCCTCCTGGAGTGATGATGATTCAGCAGAACCCCCCACCTGCCTCCCACCAGAGACTAAATGACATGAAACACAGACTGTTGTCACCACACAAATATTTTATCCACAGCTTACTCTGATTAATAGTCAGAAAAGACCACATCAGCAACAGACTCCAGGGAGTGCCTTGCCAAGTTGCAGTGAGCGTGTCTCCGTGCACTGTATGTGTGAGAGCCATTCAATCGATTTTCCGCAGATTTCAACTGAAGTCCAGCGTTATTGAACTCACCACACCATTTGACTTTCCAGTTTCTGTTAGCATCCACTCCTCTGCAGTGGAACTTGTGGTTTTTGGACCGTGTTTTCCTCCAGAACCGATCCTGCAGGGAAAACAAAGACGCTGTCACCACGTATGTCCACTTACTGTCAGACTTATCAAACAAATGGAGCTTCCTGTCTTCTCCAAAATAATCCATCTGTCACTCAATCAGCTCCTAAGAGATATTTAAACAGCAGTTGAGGAGCATTTTTCACTGAAATAAGGGCTGCTTAACGACAGAGACCACATCGTTGTCTCTCTGATGTTAAGTTTTTCTACTTTGATCTACTTGGACACAAAATAAGGGAATTTAGTTATTATTCCAAATACATGCATGAATATAATAAAAGTGTTTCTTCTCTGGGCCCAACATGCTGCAAAGTTATCAGAATATGCTGTACGTAGAAAGACCTACAGTACCGTGGTCCAGCTGAAGTGATATCCATCCACGTTGAAGACAGGCATGATGTAGAAGTTGAGCTGGTTCAGCAGTCGTCTCATCACCGAGTCATGCTGGTATGAGTTGATGGCCTTGAATTACAACACAAAAACAGTATAATTACAGAGCACAGATCTAGATTGTGGCCTAGTAATACAATTGCAGGTAATTACTATGCTATGTTTTCATTATTTTGTAACCTTGCACATATTTGCTGTCACAGTTCTTTAAATGCACAACTACAGCAGGTTAATACTCAGACTGTAAACGAGGTGTGAAGATCTGGTCACTGAGCTAATACTGCTTGTACCTGCTCTTTAATCAGACCCAGGCCAAGGTTAATATGCTTTAAGCCTTAAACAAAGATGGCACCCTGACCTCCAGTGGCCAACCTCAGTTACTACATGACAGTTGATCACATTTTAGTGCACAGATTTGAGCCAAGTGGAGCATCTTTGAGTGTTTTTCCCAAGTCAAATGTTTCCCTCTGTTCATTTTTTTGTCGGTCTGTTTCTGATTTCCTGCTGCTGTTTGTCTTTTCCCTCCCTTATTTACTCACTTCCTACTCCCACTTTACCCTCCTTTGAAGAATTCCCTACTGAACGTGTAAGTTCATGTAAAAGCCTAAGGTGAATTAGTCATGCATTTTAGTTTAAACCGTCGCATTTGAGGCCAAACATGTGTCTGCAAACAGAAAGACTGTGGAGCACAACAAAACACTGCTTTGTAAATGTTATGGTCCAGTGAACCTAAGACAAGGTATGATTTAAAATGTGCATGTGTCACTTTGAGGTGGAACATGTTTACTTTTAAGTCTCCTCAACAGCAGTTCACTTGGTTACTAGAGATTGAAATATTTCGTTGCATTTGTTTAAAGGTTCTGTACGTGACATTCAGAGCATCACTATAGCAGCAAACCACTATTTGCTATGTAAAGATATTGTGTAATGGTGTCCTGAGCAGATAATGAAGTCACGCTCCCTCTGTGTGTGTTGTAATCCAAGCTTCTTTGTGGTTTGCTGTGGTAGACCGGTCCGGCTGCGTGTCCATGTTAATGCATGTGTGTATCCCACTGGTTAGCTCATCGCTGCTGCTTTGCATCGCCCTCATACACCGGTTACTGCTGATATTGGCAAGGCAAGGCAAGTTTATTTGTAGAGCACAATTCGTACACAAAGTAATTTAAAGTGCTTTACAGAACAAGAAAATGTATTAAAATCACAATACATAATGCCATATTGGGATGGCATTATGGCGAAAGCATAACACCTACACTTCCCAAGATAGCAAAGGCACCTGCCCTACTCTCCATCTGACTGGCTAGTGCGTCTTGCCTTTGTTGGTTAGGTTGGTTAGGTTTAGACAAGAGGAGTCAGATTGATTAGGGTTTGGGTAAGAATGTAGGGGTAAGCCAATCAGAGGCAGAGTAATGCAGGATTTAAACTTTTGCGGTGAAATCTGACGTGCACCTCCCCAGAAATGTACCTACACGTTGTAGTGACGCAAATCTCCTGGCTATTTTTGTAAGCTGAAACCATTTCCCTCACTGGAAACAGAGCTTTTATTTACTTAAATTTCACAGATAAGAAACAATAAATTGTGAAGACAATAAAGCCTCCACAAAAATAGCATTTTTAGTCTTGTGTGTGATTTATCCTGGCTTCATATGAGTGGATGAAATCTCTGCTTGTCGCCAGGCTAATTCATACAATGTAAAATGCCATAGGCTTGTGCTAATAACGTTAGCATGTTATATTTGTTTGGAAAACGTGCTTAGTATAAGACAGTTGTTTTGTCGGTGAACCTTGTGAGTTGTAATGGAACCAAATTTTGTAACGCTACCTTTATATTACTCATATGGCTTCTTATGAGTAGAGGAAAAGTCCGCTAGCTGCTAAGCGGCTAATGTGTAAATTGCCATAGGCTTGTGCTAATAACATTAGCATTTGTATTTGTGGGGAAAATGTGTCCAGCAAAAGACAAGTGCTTTGTCTGTGAATGCTGTGAGTTATAATGAAGCTGATTTGTGTACTTCTGTTTGACAGTGTCACTATTAAGCCATGTTTAACGTGTGTTTAATGTGTGTTTTGGGTGTGTTTTGAATCAGCTAAACTTTAGAGCACTTCACAGAAACCCTGACACCGACTAGTGTTTTGGAGGTCTAACTGCAGAGTGATACAAACACAGCAACTCACAAGTATAAATGCTCACAATATAGGCTACGGCATAGGCTCTGCATAGAGCTGACGCACAAGTAGGCCTATAAATCCCCCCTGGTTAACAACATTAGTTTTGTCAGAATCGATGCCGTTGTTTAAAGCTGCTTATGGTGTTAGCACCATTAGCTGCTAGCTGCCAGCTCAGCCCTCTTCATGTTGAGAACTGTGTCTTGATAAGCCTTTTTAAGCCTTTTTTTAAAAACCTGTCAGTTGAGGTCTATCATGCAAGAATTCCTTATAAAAGGCTGTGACTCAGCGCCCTACATTGATATTCATTGACTTTTCCTTTAATTATCCTAACGCTCTGGCACTGTGTTGCAAATCCCACTCATCTGGCATCTAAGCAGTATAAAACAAACCATTAAAGGTTCTTGCATTTAATGTCTGGCTCTGGTCTGGTACCGTCCTCACTTCAGAGGGTAGTAACTAAGACTTTAAGGGTGTGACGGAACTTGTGTGAGCGTCTGGGTTATGTTCAACATCTGAACAATAAAGGGTATTCTTCAGTATTTGCATAACTGTGCATGACGAGCGAACAGATGTTCACGTTTTTGTTGAGGACCCCAGAGACCAAACATCACAGACTGCTTGCTACAGGCTATCATTTAGATATGAGACACTGTTGAAACATGCACTGATGCAAGCAATGCACAAAGTTCAAACAGTGTTTTAGCATTTTAATTTGCTGGAAAAACAAGGCTACCTCTTTGACAAACCACTGGCAGAAGGCAGGTCCTATCCACTCCCTGGCATGGACGCCACAGTCGATCCAAACAGCTTTCTTCTGATGACGACTTCTCTTTCCTATCTGACAGGAGACAAGCACGAGAGTAGCACGAGTTTGCATGTGCACCTGTGTCTCTTTGTATGTTATTTGTGTCTCATGCTTCCTCTCCTACCTGAAGCACATAAAGCGGTCTTCCCTCGTATGACTTCCCGATGGAGAACATGTCAACCAAGTCAGAGTTGGTTCTGTTCATCTCAAACATCCAGCTCTGGATCTTAAGGACAGAGAATAATGTAGAAGAGTGAATGTCATTCAAGGATTTGTTTACAAAGTTTTCAAGAGTAAATGTGGAAGAACAATAAGACTACTGCCTATGGAGTATGTGCATTTGTGCAGGGTTGTGTCTCTGCCTGCATGATGTGTCTGCACACACACACACAAACACACACGCATGTCTAAGTGTGCATTTTACAGCGAAGGAGAGGATCACAGCTCAGAGTACAAAAGATTTGTGGAGGCTCTCAGGATCTGCGTGTGGAATTCACGCTGCTTCATATGGCCCGACAGATTCGTGAACCGGGAGCCTGATCGACCTGGGAAAATAAACACTCCACAGCTGTGAAGTGTCTGAAGTAGAGTGCGTGTCTCTGTGTGTAAGAGTGCGAGGCTGTGGGAGAGAGACCTGTGGAATGGGGTAATTGGGAGTTTTGAGAGCACCTTAGAGAGAATGTTTGTTTACTCAGTGTGTGCATTAGATTACAGAGCAGAGCAGAGTGAGAGATAGGCAGGCAGGCAGGTAGACGGTGGGCTTTACATCTACCTCTTCCAGTGAGTGGTAAACCTCGTAGTCATACTGAGACTCTGACCTCCGCTTGCGAGAGGAGCGATATCCCGTCTGCTTTTCAATTTCCTTCTGCAGATTGGAGATAAACACCCTGTGGATGGAAGAGAGGGAGTCACACAGACACATGATAAACATGATAGCCAACAATCATAACACCTTACCAATAACATTATAACATGTCAGTCATAATGCTCCCAGGAGAACATTGTTTTAATACTAGTGTTTTCAATACTTCTCCTTACGTACATGTGTTACTTTCTAAAAAGGGTTACTTTTAAAAGAATACAAGTTGTAACTACTATGTTTATTATTCTTAAATGTATTAATGCTTTGTAGATCAGTAATAAGCAATTAATTGACACATTTGGGTTGCCTGTTTGGGATGCTGCTGTTTATCCACCCCTTGCACAACTTCATATATTTATAAATGAGTAAGTGAGCCAATAATAAGAAAGAGCCTGATGTCATATTGGGCTATCAAGCCTAGAGTTACAGTATATGTAATTGTTCATCATTAAAAAATGGCTATTAATTTATCCATTACTGTTCAAAGAGACCAACGGCTGTGAATAACAGCAATACTAAAGCTTATACAAACAGGTGCATGTCATAAAATGCATATTTAGTTAAAGAGCTGGATGAAAAGACAAAAAGACACAATTACGGCAGACTAGCAGAAGTGATAAGTAATTAGGGCTGCAAATATATATATATATATATATNATATATATGTATAATATATTTTTTGATTACCAAACAATCTGCAAATTATTATTATATTTTCATTAATCACTCGCTTATAAAAAAAAATTTAAAAACTCTTCAAAAGTCTTTTTTAATTCCTCCAAAAGTCCAAAATTGGAAGACAGTCAGTTAACAATGATATATATGCCAAAAATAAATAAATAAAAAGCTGCAAATGTTCACATCTGAAGAGCTGGAAGCTAGAAAGTTTGGCATTTTTTCATTACTCTAAAAATGACATAAGCAAATAATTGATTATCAAAACAGTCGCTGATTATTTTCCTGTTCATCGTCTAGTCAGTTAATTGACTAACTGATTCAGCTCTTTATATCTAACTAAATAATCTAAGCTTGAAGTTCAACATTCTATACTGTAAGAAGAAACTATTTGCTTTAACTTAAAAAATTAGCACCCGGGTTTCCTTAAAATTTGAAGTTGACTGAATTTGAGAAAATAAACTGAGGTAATTTTGTAATGATTCAGTATAAATAAATAAATAAATAAATAAATAAATAATCAATTAAGATAAAATTTATTTGACTGGGAAATTCTATTTGTTTCCAGTCGTTACAAAATTACCTCAACTTAAAATTTTAATGCAGCCTACATACTTAATTTTCTAAGTTAAAACAAAAAGTTTCTTTCTGCAATGCTTTCTGTGCCTTAATTTGCACCTCATGGTCTTAAGTTATCAAATACAGCTGACTGGTATGGTTACACGCAAAACTTTGACCATGTGACAAGTGTGTTTCACAACCTGGTGACCTAAATTTTACTGTTGCTTTTATAAATAACCTATTTCCCATTTATAAAGTATTGGCAAAAGTCTTAAATTACAACTTACAAACTCTTCACAAAAACATAGTTTACAAGAGTGTGGTACCCATGTAGCTACTGTAAAACATAAAACAGCAACATGTAAAATTACTGCAGATTTTGTTTATGCTACTGTACACAACATTAACTCTAACTTGATGTGAGGTTTTATCATTTTGATCATTTGTTACAGTACGTCCCTGTTTGGCTGCAGTGGCACTGCACTGTAGGTGAATATAATATGTCTGATAGGTGCAGAGGGCTGGTATGAAGTGGTGGATCAGAGGTCCTGAATGTATTGTTGACTCATTCTTAACACCAATTATGCAACTGCTCTCTCATCCCTCTTCTCTTCCAACACCCAAACCAATTTTCTACATCAGCACTCACCTGGTTTGATAGTGCAAACTAGTTATAACACTGCTGTCTGTCAATAAATTAAATGTACTGTAAATGAGCCAAAACTATAATTATCACCAGCATTGTCTGTTTATAGACTGCTCCTGCGTGTGTTCAGACCCTATGCCTCTGCACTTCCCACTCCAACGTGAAACAGACGATGTAATCTGTTTTTGTAGCAGCTATGTGGGCAGCCAGACTCTCCGAAAATACACTTTCTCATGAGGTCCTTATATGTCCATTTCTATCCATAACTGCTTCAATAACATTCAAAATGCTGCATCATTTCCCTGAGAGAAAATGGGATCTTCAACACTTCGCTCCCTCAAAACCCAACCACCTACCAGAGAACGTCCCCTGCAGTGTAAACCACTTTCTCGGTCAATCAACACAGAGAAGAAAAAAAAAAACCTCACCCTCAGATCTGCAATTCCTCCCTTAGGACAGAGATGACAATGGAATTCTTTCTATCTGCGGCTGCTTTGATAAACTCCATCATTTCAACGTTAATTTTGATGAGGGATGGGGTGGGGAGATGAAAGGGCGGCTTTCTGGAGCAGATTGGGAGAGGACTCTGATGTGTGTTTCTATGTGTCCCAGCTTTGAGGAAGCTCTTTTGCATGCACAGTATGGCCGACTCTGCATGTGCAAATCATATATTCTGGCTGGGGAAAGCTGGGTAATTGCAACGCCCTTTGGATAGCAGATGTGTCTCGGGGTGTAGACACTCTGCTAACAAGATTGCCAAATGTGTGAGAGCATGAATGTGTAATGTGATATGTCTCTGTATTTATTGCTGGCGGTCTCTCCAGTCTTACCGATAATCAATATGTTCCCGCTTTAAGCGTGCACGTAAGCCTCGTGTGTCATTGTGTTTCACATGGACGTCCACTGTGACATTTTGACAGATTAGAGTGGCACTGTTGGGCTGCCAGAAGTCCACCTAAAGGAAGAGAATGAATATATTAGATCAGAGGTTACAGACACACACACACACAGCAGGATTTCATAATGAGGAAAGGAGTGGGTTATTGAGATAAAATCTTCTATCACCGTCATTTTAAATTGCAGTATTAGTGAATAAGAATTACTGCCAGATGGTTGTACGCCTCCGTGAACCAGTGAAGTTGTAGTTACAGTTTACATACACTTCTGCTCAGACTTACATGTACAGTAGCTATGACAGTTCACAATACGTCTATGGATGTTGCTTCCAATAAGCTACATTCTAAAACATGGATGCTTCACACACATCTTCAACCCGGCAGCACAGAAGATCTATACACTCAGCAAAAATTTAAGATCAACAACGAAGATTAATGTCACAAATTCAGTATCTGACCAGATGTCTTCCCTTCTGCTACTGAGTTATGATGCTGAGCTATGGCAGGAAGCGTGTTTTTGCAGACCGTTATGATGTCACACTGAAATTGACTTTTTGGATATAAAATGTCATCACTTCATTATTTTATTCTTGAGACATTTGTTTGAGAGTTTGTCAAAACTAGCATATAAATTCCTGAGTTATGGCCAAAAACATGAGGTAACAGTGACCTTCGGGTCTTCCTTGAGTCCAAGTCGCTGTTTGTGTCAAATTTGAGGAAGTTCCCTCGAGACATTCTTGAGATATCACGTCCAAGAGAATGGCGCGGACAAACGCCACAGCTGTCAACTGAGGCATGAAAATCGTATAAAAATCCAAATTTCTCCACACTATAGCCCTGATGATTAATTTTCAACATTGCCCTCTAGTTTTGTTTAGTCCATATGATCCCCCATTAAAGTCAACAAACAAGATTTCACATAAAGACAATGCAACCATTACAACTCACAGCACTTAACATTACAGAAAAAACAGGACGACACTGAAACACACACACAGACAAGACAAGCTCCTGACAATTCAATAATCACAGGATATGAAATATATTCATAACACACTCCAGTGCAAATCATAATTTCACTCTAGTATTCAATACATTAATCAAAATATATCAAAAATTGTGTGTTTCATGCCAGTACTCCCAGTCCACAAACACTCTAAACCCACAAGAGTCAAACTCACATTTGTATTTTGTTTAAAACATAGCCAAACTAGTTTCTGCATCTTTTCAACATCTCTTGTCAAAACAGAAGAAATAAACTTGACTGTTTCCTTGTGTTGTATGTCTAGGGCAGGGGTAAGCAACCCGCAGCTCCAGAGCCACATGTGACTCTTTCTCCCCTGTACAGTGGCTCCCTGTAGATTTTTTAATATTGTAATTTTCATGCATCTTTCTTCTCAGCCTAAAGTGATTTTACATTCTCTGATTGTAAAAATATGTAGCCTATACACAACTAAAAATATTCTTTTACATTTCGTCAACTAAAATGTCATCATACGTCTATGACCTGACACCTTTTACTCTAAATTTTGCCACACCTCAATGGAAATGGTAGTAAGTGAAAACGCACAAGGAAGATAACGTTAATGTTTCAGAGGCTACGCTACAGTAGGCTAACGTTAGCCATTAGCAACTGGATGTTGTGTTGTCATATATAACGTTATAGCCTCTGTTACATTAGAGGCAAACTAAAAATAACTGTCCAGCAGAAACTCTGCGACCATCTCGTCCCTTTTTAGCTCAGGACGAAGCTGCATCAGTGTTCACCATCGCTCGAAAGCAGAGCCAATGTTGACCTGAGTTTTGACTTTTGCAGCATCGAGTTCTCTCTTAGTGTTAGCTTTTTCTGCAACATTCTTTCTTTGCCAAATGACTTCCCTGTTGGAGCGGCTGGAGGTGGTTATGTCAGTGGTTACGTCAGTCGAAGGCCTCCACGTGAGGAAGACAGACAGGACGCTTGGGCAATTGGTCGGAGTTTTCTTCGAACCATATGAGAATGGTATAATTATGAGTTTTTATCTCTGGTGGAATTCATTTACATTTTAGTGTACCTTCATCTTATTAATAGTATTTTAACCTAAACAAAGAAAGGCGTAAAATTTCACAGGAAGGTCAGTGTCGCTTCAATAGCACATGGACAGATTTGCTTACTTTCACCGCCAATGCTGCAAAGTTAATGTAGCAAATAATCAAGAATAGCCATCTGCAGAGAAACCACCTTGTGGGAAAATATATTAATAAACTCTCATTTGGAGCCATCAATAATGTTGATAGACTAATTTAGATACCTTCATAATAAGGCTCAAATATGCTTTGCGGCTCTATACAGATTTCTTTTTTCCTTTTTTTATTGGCCAAAAGTGGCTCTTTGGATAGTAAAGGTTGCTGACCCCTGGTCTGGGGAGTAAATTCCGTTCACACACAGCTTGGGACATGGCCGTTGGTTTGATTATGGCCTAATGCACCAAGAGATATTAAAGGGATTTGCTACCATGGTGTAAACAGTATCGCAAATCTACAGTATATTGTCTCATGGTATACTTTATATTGCTATACTGTTATATTAGTTTTATTTATTGTCTGACTTAGGACGTAAGATGCTGCCGTGCCACATGGACTCAGTAGGGATGCACCAATCCAACTTTTAAAAACTGAGTACTAATACCGCTGCTCTCTTTTTCCCTAATCTAAAATGCATACCACACTGTAAGGAAAGACTCATTTCTATGGGAGATAACACGAAGCAAGGGATTACTGTCGCTCTAAAAACTGAGTCTGTGGCCGACTGTGACTAAATAAATGTAAGTGATTGTGGAAACACTGAATTTTGTAATGATGCTGATAAGAATCAGTGTTTTATCTGGGGTGTGTAATGCTTTGGCTGATAGCTGATCCACTTAGTATTGGCTTAGATTAACTAAACTAAACTAAACTAAACTAAACATGAGGGTTAAAGAGCATAGTTGTAGAAAAAAAAAACAGAAGACTTGATTATCTTTTCTGCTGGAAGTTTAAAATAGCTCCAAACATTTGGTGATAATGACCAAATTGTTTTGTTAAGACCTGGACAGTTTAACATTCCTCTACTCTCTACCTTGGAGCGATGGACTAAATCAGGGGAATGTTGATGACTCTACAGTGTTAATGAGGCAAAACATACTCTAACGTGCCCCATTAACAACCTGCAGTGAATGACTCTCCCTCCGCTCCCCTCTCTACCGTTTGACCTCGTATTAGCAACAAAACTCCTGTCTTTCAGCGCCTGTTATCAGGCCGTGATACTCCGGTCTGTTAGCTTTAGCTAAAACAGCTAGCCAACCATATAAACACAGACATCATGTGGTAACAGATAAAATAACAGAGAGAGCTGACCTACGAATGATACACACAGTAGTCACTGCAAAGGGAGCGCTGTATATTCAGTGTTCCTGCAGACATGTGCGAGCGTCCTCAGCTGGCTTTCATTTGTACATAAGGGCAGAGACATGCAGGCTGGCACACATGCTTGTTAATGTGTCAATTGGTTTAATGGTTTACAGAGTGCATACCAGATTAATTTAACTTTGTTTAGAGCCAGGGGCAGAAAATCTTCAGCTGGAATGTTTGGTGCCCTGCAGTATAAACCGCTCTCTGCTGCTGCACTTTTATGGCGTCTCCAAATGGTTAAGTACCCCAAATGTTTCAGCTCTGCTGTTAGCCAAACAAATCCAAAACACAGACGCCTAAAAGGCACTTAAATACCCCCGATCAGATAACGCAACTCCTCGCAAGCATTTCTCTCAATTTAAATTTTACTGTTGTATTTATGAGCCCTAAAGATGCATGCTTTGTCTGCTTTATAAATCTTTTGTCTCCTGATTTTTAATGCGATTCTTCTTTTTTATGTGTGTGTCTGTGTATACAGGGTAGCTATAAATTGAATTTGTGTTTTTTTGGTTGATGTAACACTGGCATGGGCAGAACAAGAAAGGAAAAGTTATAGTTCAATAAAAAGAGCTGACTTTCCTTCAGGCAGACGCGGTGAGGCTGCCGTCAAGTAAAAGAAAACAAGTTGCCAAAGTAAAACACAGTTAGTGAGTATAACCAACATTGGCAGAGTATGTGACAATGGGCCCCTGGGCACCGATATTCAAAAGGCCCCACCGCCTCTCCTACATAAGAGCAAGACACAAAGACTTTGTGCTGGCTTTACCTCTTTTTGTTGCTGTTTTATGTGTCTCTTTGAGGTCATTTTGTGTCTCCTTTGACGTATATTTTTCTCATTGTTTTGTCTTTTTGTAGTTGCTTTGTGTGTCTCTATAGTTCCTTTGCATATCTTTGTTGACATTCTGTGTTTATTTGAAGGTAAATTTGTGACTCTGACATAAATTTGTGTCTTCTTTGTTCATATTGTGTCTTTTTGTAGTCATTTTGTGTTTCTTTGACATATAATTGAGTCTTTTTGTTCATTTTGTATCTTTTTGTGGTCATTTTGCACCTGTGTGATGTATATTTGTAGTTTTTGTTCATTTTGTATCTTTCTGTAGTCATTTTGTGCCTGTGTGATGTATATGTTTGTGTCTTTTTGTAGTCATTTTGTGTTTCTTTAACATATATTTGTCTTTTTTTGTTCATTTTGTGTCATTTTACAGTCATTTTGTGCCTTTGTGATATATATATATTTATGTCTTCTATGTTCATTTTATGTCTTTTTGTAGTCATTTTGTGTTTCTTTGACATTCATTTGTGTCTTTTTTGTTCATTTTGTGTTTCTTTGTAGTTCCTTTGCATCTCTTTGTGGTCATTTTGAGTCTCTTCCTGGTTGATACGTGTTAATTTGAGTGACATTTTTGCAGGTAAAGGACAGGGGTGCCCTGGCACTTTGAGCATCTTGGCCTGTACCCAAGAGGCCCGTTCAGTAATCCATCTGTGATTATCAAAATACCAGCTATTTGACATGCTTCGCAGCCTGATATTGGATGCTTTATTACAAAAAGAATAGTTCAGCATTTTGGGCAATACATTAATTCACTTTCTTGCTGAGATTTAGATGAGAAGATCAATATCACTCTCACGTGTG